TGAAGAGCGCCTCAAATCACTTAACCTTTACCAGTTAGTGTACAGGCGTCTTAGAGGTGATCTTCTTATGACTTATAGTATCCTTAATACTTCTGGTCATCCCCTTAAACATCTTCTGCAGCTTAGTCATAACACTAACCTAAGAGGTAACACCCAGAAATTGGAGACCCCAAATAGCAGAACAGACTGCAGATACAACTTCTACTCCGTTAGAGTTGTCAAGTGCCGGAATTCGCTGCCGACTGAGCTAGTCCAAGCGACCTCCCGGGAGTCCTTTAAGAGGAAACTTGACTTATTCTTAAGGACTAAGGATAACATATTATTATGATTTACCAAATTCTTCTTTTTCCTCTATTATCGTTCATATACCTAGGTTCTCACCTGGAGGTATTGGTGATCCACTGCTACCAGACACGGAAGCCCGTTAAGCGAAAGCTTCTTCTATTCCATCCTCAACCATTTGAACCATTTGAACCATTTGAATAACGCTTAACTTTTGGTGTTTTTGATAATTTTTCATATATTTCTTATCACCTTGCTATTTATTGTAATTTAGATTGAATATTTTGGTATCAATTGTTGGTTGAATAACCGGGTGATAATATTCGTTTAGATAAATTTGTACATTTGTATATATGATGAATTAGAACCGTGTCAACCATAATATATTGTTTTGATTTAAATCGGGACACGAGTGTCTAAAACTATCCAACGGTTATTCGGCCACATCCAGACCCATTGGAATTAAGGTTTGGATTTTACAGTTCTAAACGAATACTAGTTGCTTGCTTGGAAGAACTTACAGTTCTAAACAAATATTAATCGGCTAGCAGCTTGGTTCGAGTTCGCAGTTCTGAACAAATAGTTCTTAGTCGGTTCTTGGCTATCGTGTTGTGCTTTTCAATCTTGGTTCCCTGAAATTTGGTCGTTTCGTTCGGGATGACAAAACCTCGTCAAAAGAAGATTATTTCAAAGCTCGATGGTGCTGATGGACCCAAGTTAAGCGACGAATCTCTTTGTACAAAGCAAGTGCTTTCTGATGTCTTTATGTCCCATGGTTCTGATACAGTTAGGGCTAATTATAACGATAGTGATTCTAGCTGTGATTTAATTACAGATGATCTAGTAAATTTTAGTTTAAATAAAAAGCGAGTGTCTGAGATGTCAAGGCACAATGTATTGCCTAAACTCCCTTTAGTCGGTCTAGAATTACCTAAGGTTGAACTAAGTTATTTTGACGGACAGCCAAGACAGTATTGGAGGTTTATAAGAGAATATGAAACCTATATTGCATCGAGGGTCAGTGATGATATTCAACGTCTACTATACTTGCTACATTACTGTAAGGGCAAAGCAAAGGCAGCAATTGAAAGTTGTGTGGTAATGGATGCGGCAGCGGGTTATAAAAGGGCCAGGGAGATCTTGAAGCGATTGTTCGGACAGACTCATGTAATTGCCCTTGAGACTTTGGAAGACTTGTTCAACTGTGTAAACTTTGATTATAATAATGCAGAACAGCTGTCAACCCTAGCTATAAAAATGGAAAATTGCGCTGTAATTCTGGAACAGATGAATTATACTGCAGATTTGAATTCTCTGGCCACTTTGTAGAGATTGGTGAAACTATTGCCTCAGCCCATGCAAGTGCAGTGGGCAGAAGTAGTAGATAAGTTGACTGAGGATGATAGAAAACCAACCTTTGCCGAGCTTACCAAGTTTGTAGCAGCCCGCGCAAGAGTGGCCACAAGCAGATTTGGACGGTTAGCAGAGCATCCAAAAAGGGGATGTAGCACCAGGGTTAATTGTCATGTGTTATCAGAGCACTGTAATACTTTCACTGTGAGTACTAAGTGTGGTATATGTTCTGGCAAACACCCCGTCGATAAATGCACACGTTTTTTAGCGCTTAAAGTGGAAAATCGATGGTCACAAGTTAAAAGCAAGGGTATTTACTTCTCGTGTCTTAGACAAGGTCATAAGGCTATCGAATGTAGATTGAGCAAGCGCTGCACCGTCAACAAGTGTACGAAGAAACACCACCCACTATTGCACAATGATCAGACAGTCAGCGGCTCGGAGGGAAATTCCACTGGATTGGATTAAAGCATGTTCCATGCACGATTGCGTTGGTGCACGCTGATTGGCTTATTCTTACTCAATCATCGCTAGTCGATGCTTTGAGAAGACTCTAGAATCTTCTCATGTGAAAACTATAAATACACTAACGTATTTCTTATTGTGCTTCCTACTTCATCGACCCCTTGTTATTTGGAATATAATTTCTTTCCTGTTCAACCGTGTTCTGATCTGGGGACTTGTCGAGTGAATCTGTGTCCAAGAATACTGAGCAACAGGAATAGCCTGGTCGTTATACGAAAAATTATAACATGGAGTAAACCTATGGTTTTGGATTCGGGATTGTATCAGATTATAGACTCACAAGATCAAATATTTATAGACTGAAAAATATACATCTGGCTTTTATTTTCTGTAGTCTTCATCTCGTCTTAAGATGATGTCAAACTGTCTATGTTGAAATGTAATCTGCTTTATCAATCTCACAAAACTCCCATTCTAAAGTAAATGTTATAGCATTCGAAGCCTACGGCGAATCTTGACAAGCTAGTCCCCCCAAAAGTATTAACACTGGTTTTTCTAACGACTATTAAGACCACGTCTGATATTTTTCGAGAAAACTGGTTTGTTAAGTCTGAAAAAACTAATCGATACCACGTACTATATTGTCAGACGGATCGGTAACTTATTTCACGAATTTACACAACAATCTAAACCTTAACGCTCATTGGTGCTCGCGTTCCTTGTAACCCCGTAACCAATCAGAAAACGACGACCGAAAGCAGACTAAATCTTTTGTCCTCGATTCGATCATAAAATAATATCTTGAAAATGACTGACCACACAACACGCCAAACAGCAAATTACACTTTAAGCGCAATCATACCGTAAGTAATAGAGGGCTGCAAGAAGCAGTACATAACTGATCAGCAGTAATTACGGAGAAGTAAGGGATATTAGTGACAATAAGGGCGACGTAGAAATGCGGCAATAAAGTTATCTATTAATTATGTAATAACGATATAAATAATAATAGTTCGGAAAATAAGGCTGTAGGTCTCAACTCCAATATTCGTTCTGTAATAATGTCTTGTCTGAGTAAAAATGGCTTGGTTTATACTTTTGGTGACTTTGTTTTCCCTGTGCTATTTCCGTTTAGGTTATCCAATTGTTGATGATCCTCTATACAATTCAACTGATTGGGGTGAGTTGAAAGGGAAAGGCGCTAATTATGGAATAACTATAGAAGAAGTTATCCAAAGACTGAGTAATTCTCGTAACAGGGAAAAGTATATAATCCAAGATGTAGGACTCTTCTTAAAATTCATATTGTGCTAAAGTTTTTCGTGATATCATTACTACTTATTACTCTGAATTATGATTTCTCTATCATCTTCGAAACCTTTTTCTTCGCAAACAAATCCCCATAATTAATTCATCAATGGTTGCACTTAAAATTCTTGTAACATGTTAATATTTACATACTACTTAGAATAGCAGTAATCGGAACCAGTTACTTCACCCTGATTCCAAATCAAAGGTGCACATGGGCTCTAGTATTCTGATGAAACAAATGGCGTCGGTCACCGGCTACCATAGAACCGCATCTCCTTACGATGCTTCACTGCCTTGTGGATCAGACCTTCAGGTCAAAGGCTCTGGGTGTGTCCCCCCAAAAAAACCACCTGCTTCAGTTTGGGCACCTGAGCAGTATCACAGCCCTCACACAAATCTCAAATGATTTGTGGAACGCATATGCATTTGGTACCCGTTTGTACCAATATTTATGTGTTTAAATAAATAAAAAAACTTCACAACTTCGTTAATTTGACTCAATGTAGCTTTCTTCACTCTTCAAAACAAACATTTCATCTAATTAATTCAAAGTATATATGTTTCAGCGTCCAGGTAAGTAGGTACTCAGCGCGGAACTTTCAGACTCTGGATAATTAAAATGTTTTCAGTAACCTTCAAAGGTTGCATTCCACATCTTTTCCGAATTCAATTCAAATTCCTCTTGAAGTTGTGAGCTGGTTTTTTCTCTGCTACAGTAGGTCATTTCTATTAGTATTCGGCCGACGGATCTGGAGTATCTTGCGTAGACAATTGTTTGTAAATACCTGTACTTCTTTGATGATAGTTATGCTTAGTACTATGACACCGAATCCAACTATGTCCAATCAGAATACAAAGACTGGTTAGGAAGGTTTAGTTGATCTCTAAAACGAATCGAAACTATTCTTGAATACATTCATTTACTTACTGATTTTACTCACACTTAATGATTGGTTTGTACTTATCACATGGGAGAAATACACAGAATTACGGCAAAAACCTAATCTACAAGTTTCACACTGAATTGACGCAAAGAATATCATATCTGTTATGTATATGGATGCTTGTATGTGATCAAGGATCTTTATCTCAACAACTTGAATTTAGGAAGAAAAATGTTTCATCAGTTCCACGTGTATATTTAGTCGGTTTTACATATCCTGTCGAGTTAATTGATACAATAGGTTTCTGCTTGTAGTAGTACACTATGAACTCATCGCATACACATGCATTTTATATGTGATCAGTCAGTTGATATCAATAAACCATACATGAACTTTGTAACTGGAAGCTGAGTACATAAACATGTACTTTGTAAATTGATTATGTTACTTGTTTGCTTCCTGCTTCGGTTTGGGCAACCGGGCAGTATCCCAGCCCTCACAAAAATCGAATGATTTATATGGAGCATATTTATTTGGTGTCTCCTTGTAATAATGTTTATGCGTTTAAATAAATAGATGTTTCTCCTCATTTATCTTAGTCTGAAACTAAACGGCTCAGTAAAAATCACTAGAATATGTTATAATATAGCTCATTTATCAAATACAGATTTGTTCACTTGACTTTTAGTCAAAACTTATGTGTAAGCGGTAGTAGTAATGCTATCCGACTACCCAAATTCAAATAGACAGAAAGGGACCCTGTCACCCAGTGGTTGAAATTCAAACTCCTTAATCACTAAGCCACTGATCCACCAAAGTGCGCAACTAACTACTTACACTTGAGATTGATGTTATCAATTATCACTACTTTATCGTATTTATATTGGATCATATCACTCCTAAAGGTGATTTATCTTTGATGTGTTTTTTTCGGACCAATGAAAAGTTGATAAGCTCTCTTGATCCAAATGTATTAGAACGTCTGCAATTGTGTAAAGATCCCTTATGCCCTGATTGTAAATTGACTTTCAAAGATCCAGAAATGAATAACCTAATACTGCGACTACATGCTTATCGTTATAGTGGATCTGATTGGTGCTATTCTGCACCTTTACCCAGTTGGGTTATCAATGAGAATGTACCAGACTTGCATGATGCGATAGAAGAGGCAATTAAACAGTTATAAATATTTGTGTGTATATCAGTTTTTCTCTCCATATGTTGTTCAGTTTCATTTCGTTTTGTATTTGATGGGAGAAGTGGATAGTTATATATTTACTTAATACACTTTCAATTACCGATTGCGCTTAGTGGTAGTGTTTTCTGTGTTTGTCTTTAATGTATATTTTCAGTTCTGTTTTCGTGTATATGTATATAGAGCTATTCAAACTGATTCACTCCTATTCTTTTTGTCAGTAAATTTACAAATGCCCTGGTACGGCCGAGAGTGGGGAGAGTCCGGTCTCCCTCTCGAAATACTCTCACATGGCCACGCGTATATAGCCTCTGCCAGGGAAGTCCTACTCACTGCCTTCTCGTGGCGGGGGTGTTGTTTACGAAATTGAGGGGACGAAAAGCGAATGTCCGGCGCTTTAACCGGGTTGGTGGACACGGAAAGTTCACCTATGGGAGTTGGAAAACCCTTATTCCAAACCATTGGTGCACATAGGCTCCAGTATCCTGAAGGAACAAATGGCGTATGAATCAATCGTTGGTCACCGACTACCATGGGACTGCATCTCCTTACGATGCTCCATTGCCTTGTGGACCAGACCTTTAGACAAAGGCTCTTGGTGTGGCCCTCCAAGAAAACCACCTGGGCAGTTTCACAGCCCTCACACAAATCAAATGAGATTTGTGTGGCGCAATATATCTAGTACCCGTTTGTACCAATATTTATGTGTTTAAATAAAATAAATTACATTAAGCAATACAAAGAGGATGAATGTATAATTTCTTGACTAATCGATTTTCTGCTGTGAACGCTTCTGTGTGCAGTCAATTACCATCAAGAGCCATACTCTTAGCTGACGGAAAATTAAACGATTCTGAATGAGATCAGAAATAGGTAATAATAACGAATTCGATTTTTCATCTCAATAATATTGGCGATCATGAATTACATACGGTTTTTATTAGACGATCAACATTTTCGACAAATCCTATCGTTTGTATCTTGGTATAATTAGATTAAGTTATACAATAGTTCACTCTTTTTTAATTTTATTTGAACTTGTTCAATAACATCGCCCGGCAGTAACCAGTTAGCGTATCTAAATTTCGTGTACTGACGTGTGATTCTGTTTGCAAGAAAAAAGCTTTTTAAGCCTGCAAACTAGAGTTCAGACTTTAGAGGGTTAAAGACAGGTAAAGGTACAGAAGATGGTACCCACTGAAATAGACTTAGATAAAAGGTTTGGTGAATTGTCAAGTGACATGATATGAAAAATTAACAACAATAGCAGTAATAATAATCTGAGGATTGAAATATACATTATGGAGAAATAACGAATGACAACAAGAAATATATATGAGATTCATCGAAAAGAAACCGTCACTTTGGGTTTAAATATGCGAATATACAGCAATAATTCCAAAGGAACAATGTTATGAATGAATTTATTATGTCTGTCAACGAATAGTTAGTATTTGTAACAGTAATTGCAATGTGAAGTTCCTTATCATGTGATTAGAGAATATGCAGCAGGTTTGTAGAGAAATGGTCCGTGTTCCAAATGCTGCTCACCAACTCTGTAGAGGGTTAATTCCTCTATATTTGACTCCAATAAAAAAATAATATCCCGTTAACTGAATATTTAACGCAGGCTAAATCTCCTGGTAGAACTATGGGTTTACTCGAGATTATTGAAAAGCCTGAACGCCAGTTATAGAGATAGTTTATTTTTAAAAATTGGTGAAATTTGCAAGTGTACCGATAGCAAACACACAGGGAAAACAAGTGAGAGTGTGTGTATATCAATGAGTGTTAATAGATTGTGGATAGATTATTGATTATCTTTGTTTACAACCAATGAGAGAATTGATTAAAGATTGATGTGCAGATATGTGCTCAGACATGTGATAAATAGTATAAGAAGTGTACTCACACATCCGCTCATATAAAAAACAGTCAGGATTGTTAAGTGAATAATTAACAAGGTCAGAACGTAACTCAAGGTGGATAGGTAAATTGGCTTGTCCATAAGCTAAAATAAGGTATATGGTCTTAACATATCAACTGACAACTACAATGGGATCTTTTATATTTTGAAAGTAATTTCATATCATGAATTGATGTCAAGCATATTTTGAACATGCATTTACAAGTGGTTATATTTCACATATTCCATTTTAAATATGACTGACTGATATCATTCTTAAGTGATATTCTTGACCGTATTGTTAAACGTACCTCGATTTTCTGGTATATCAGTCAGTCAGCTACAACGTAGGACCAGGCACATTTATGCATCGGTCCAAGTTGCTATATCTCGTTAGCACAACAAGATGAATACCGGATTCATAGAAATAGTTAATTTAGTGGTGGTAATATATAAAAGATAGGTTGTATATAAGGATATAGTATAGGAAGGAAGAACGTTATGAAGCAATTTTAATCTCAAGGTTTAAGGGAAGACATAAAGTGTATATACCTACGCCATTGTGATCGATTCTAAGCCATGTCACCCAGAGTCTCCAACCATTGGTTACGATCGTCACGCCGACCCCAACCAAGTAGTCTGCATCTGCCAACATGGCTAAGACTAGAAGTTAGTGACTTCAAGCAATGATGCAACGTTTTGGTTTGGCCACCCCTAACTCTCTTCCAACCAACCCCTGCACTAGTCAGCATAGCGCGACGTGGTAATCGGTGTTCAGGCATATGTAACACGTGACCCAACCATCTCAGTCGATGAAGATTCATGACCTCATCAACCGATTTACCATCATTTCCTAATACCCTATGTCTAACCTCACTATTACTTACCCGGTGATCCCAGCAGATGCGAGAAATATTTTTAAGACATATACATATATCTTATTGAACTCAAATGGGATACATATTTAAGAAATCACAATATAAATAGACTACGTATGATATACATGAACATTTCAGATGATAGAGAATAATTTTTGTTGAGGATTATGTTGAGATTGTTGTCATCGCTATACTGGGTAGATGATTGTGAAGCTTTCACTTTTTTTTCTGAGTAATATAATCACAATGCACATCTCATTCAAGAGATTATAAAAACTCTAACATGGATATTGACCAAACGATTAAGTTGATGATGTGACATTTGCAAAGGAAAAGTTTTTTCCAACTGGATATTACAAAGTAAATGATATGCGAGAACCTGAAAAATGACTATTAGATAAGTAAATAAAAAACTTAAACATGTTCAAACACTGATTTCATTCACTAGTTCAAATGAAATTATAAAGAGGACTATTGTGTAACTCAGTATATTTGTAGCAAGTCCATCTAACTATTGTGTTATTTGTGTGTTCTCTGTAATATAGACATTTAATCTATTTTGTATATTTATGTGTCAGTCTGATTGAGCGCGTGCCTGCACATCAATCTTTAATCCATTCTCCCATTAGTTGTAAGCAAAGACAGTCAATAATCTATCCACAATCTATTAACACTCATTGATAGACACACACTCTCACCTGTTTTCCCTGTACGCTTTCGAATTTTACTAATTTTTAAAAATAAACTATCTGTATAAACTGGTGTTCGGGCTTTTCAATAATCCCGATTAAATTCATAGTTGTACTAGGAGATTTTGTAGTGGCCGTACATCGTTCATAGTTCACCTCAATAACCGTTATAATACACGTCTTAATGGTGCATAATATCAGAAGGCAAAGAGAAACGGCAACTACATTTTTAATAATAAATGATGCAGACCAGATGGTTATAAGCACATGAGCAAATGTTAGCGAGCGAAACATAAATAACATGCATTGGAGATGGCTGGTAAGCCAACTCGAGAGCGAAGCTAAATAATGCGTATTGGAGATGGCGAGGAAGCCAAATCATTTTAAGCAAGCCTTAATCAGCATTTATAATCAGACAAAAATGAATGACAGTCGTATGATGAATAAGATACGAAGTGTGCATACACATACGCTCATACAAAAAAGGTAGCCAAGGTTAATAAGCGAATAATTAACAAGATCAAAGTATGACTCATAATGGATTCGCGAATTAGCTTGGCCAGTAGCTAGAATAAAGTATATGGGCTTAACATATAAACTGATACTACAATTTAGCCTGCGTTAAATATTTAGTTAACCGGATATTATTTATTGATTAGAGTCGAATATAAAGGAAATGTTAAAGGGGAAATGTTATCTAGGTTACACATAGTAGTAGATCTAGGACTTAGGTACTTCGACGACTTGTCGTTTACTGAACAGGTAATGAAACAAACGTCCACGTCTCATCGCCTTATAGGTTTCATAACTCGAAACCTTCATAACAGCGAATCCCGTATTCTAATGTACAAAGTCTGTGTTCGACCACTCCTCGAATACTGCGCGTTTCTCCTTAGTAGCACGCGCATAAAGGATAAGTTAAGACTGGAATCAGTACAGAGACGATTTACATTTCGTACTCTTGGACCTGATAGTGTCTTGACATATAATTCGAGGTGTAGTAAACTAGGGCTTGACCCTTTATAGATGAGGAGACTCAAACTTAACCTTATCTTCTTTTTCTTCTTTTTCAAAATACTTAACAAACTCTCCTTCACATCCAGTCAGGCTATTCAATATGCTAAGGCTTCACATTACGACATTCGTAACTCCTTGTCTTTAGCGAAACAAACATATTCTAGGTCTTCTCTCTATATGAATTACTTTACCTGTAAGTTTTCTAGACTATGGAATAATTTACCCCAAACTATCCGTATGTTAGACTCTCTCCCATTGTTTGTTCGGTCAATTAATGCTTTTTGCTCCTCTGAAAATGCATTAAATGCTCTAGCGCCTGCAAGTGTATCTTACTCCACAAGTGAGATTATAGGAACTTTAAATGTTTAACCTCTTACTTGCTATCATTGTTTTGTTGTTCCGTGCTCTTTGCTTTAATCTTACTTTCTCTAGTTGTCGATAATTAATGATAACTCGCTCTGGCACTGGTAATAACCTTACAGAATAATGTTGGTCAATCAT